GAGAGTAAGCCTGACAGTATTATGTTAATTACATTTTCAAATTCATTTTTATGAGAACATTATCTATAAATATATGATAAGGTCATCGAGCTCCCAAAGGAAATTTTGGGATTTGAACTGAGATCTGAACTTAAAGTTTAGGGAAAATATGGTTTTGGTCTATACGTGTATTATAAATTAAATTAAGCCTAAATGACTCAAGTGAAAAGAGAATCCTATACTGGACCCTCTCTCATAATCCTGTAAAGGAATAAGGACCAGATTCTATACTTAGTTCTATAAGAATATGAGGGGCTGATTTTGGTCTTTTTTGCCAGGCTGTAGGGACCACATTGACATAAAAGCAACTGCAGAAAGCCACTGGAGACCTAGGAGAGTGGCTTCAATACCGCAGTGGCGTAAGGAGGCTGTGGCAGCTCGGCGCCGGTAGTCGCTGCAGGGAGAGCTGCCCGGGGGGGGGCCGCCCCGCCCCGGCGCAGCCCTCGGAGCCAGCCCGTCACAGCAGCTACGCAGGCTGCGGCTGCATAAGTGTAGGAAAGAGCATCATTCTCCCTTTCTATTCTCCCCTACTTCTGCAAAAGAAGCAGCACAAAATTGGTCCGAGCGTTTGCTGTGGTTTTTTGATCATGATACTTCACAGGACTCAGCCAGCGCAATTAGTCTACCTGAGGTTTTTTTTAGTAGTTACGGCGTACAGTATACAGGCATCTAATCTTTTCATTCAAAACCATGAGAAAGCCTTTTTCCATTCTAATAATTATAGCACACACTTACAGAAGACATAGAGCAGGCACAGTTACATTACCAAAAAAGATGGAATTAGTTTAAACCATCAAAATGAGTAATTGAAATAAGTTTCATGCTCAAATACAAACAGGTCAGAAAGGGAAATAAATGTACAAGGTATAGTTTCCTATAGATAAATAAGCTTATTTTCTGCTGTTTAAATAAATCTGTGGGTTGTTTTTTTTTGTTGTTCTCAATTTGTAATTTAATCACTATTCCAGAAACAATGAGCCCCCTGGGAGTTTCAATCGAAGTGTTTATTGTTTTTACTTATTAACTTTGAGAGTTTACATTAGCTTAACATCATTAGCAAAACATAGTAGTTGTAAACAGTAAAATTACAGTAATTCATGTTGACTGATGCTTTCATGTATATATGTGGACGAAAACCATTTTCCACTGGTGTAAATTGCTTTACTGCCTGAGGCTCTGTTCTAGGTGTTGAATACGAAGAGAAACCTTTTTGAGTTTTTCTCTGATATCTAGCACTTAAGCATAAAAAGCAAATAAGGTACTTCACATATTTCTGCGATTTCACTGATCAGTAATGATGTGGACCCCAAATGTTATGGTTGCTTTACAGTTTATCTCCTTAAACGTAATGTAAAACTAGTAAGTCACTAGTAATTTACTTTTTAAAAGTTGGAATCCTTACAGGTTTTTTCAGATATCCCTATATTACCTATTCTTGATTCAGGGGACAGATGTTATCATCAAGAGACAGGGTTAACATGCCTTTGCAACTAATTGATTTATCCTCAGCTGTTAGAGCAGCTCCTGGCCATAGTTTGTTTGGTTCAGTGGCTTAAGAATTTTCTCCAGTTCTTAGGGATATTGCAAAGGTCTTGAATATAGTCAGGATCTGAGGTTCCTGAAAAAAAAAAAACCAATTTGAGCGGTTAAAGCACAGTTTAAACCCTCCCATGGCAATCAAGTTTCAAACTGAAAATGGTTAACCTTGATTCTAAATATACATCCCCACTGTATGAGTAAACCCATGTCCTGTGCAGGAGTGACTCACAACTTTTGGAGCTCTTACAAAGCATGGTTGAATCATCTGATTAGTAAAACAGTAAACAAAAATTTCAAAACTTCCACACGGCTTTGGAGGGGCTAATCTTTTTTTTTTGGTGTGCTCATACACTTTTTTTTTTTTACTGTATTCAGAAATGAGGTATATATCAAGGATAAAAGAGATCATTTGAAAGGCACTGGTCATTTGCCCATTCCCTGGGAAATCTTCCAACTTACTGCGGAAGCCTTTAGTTTCCATTTTGTTTCCTCTAAGTGTTTTCCTTAAGCCTTAAGCTCTCTATTATGACCATGAGTCTCCTAAAACTCTAGAAAGATTTTTAGGATTCACAATACCACATCATGATATGCTTCCGATTCAAAGAGTGTAATCTGTGTTTATGTAAGGTAAATCAGTTCGCTCTATTATCTTAAACAGAGCCACTACATTTTGCCTCAGCTGGGACTCTGAGTTTATACCATTAAAGGATGAATACATTGCTTCTGTATTGCTTCCAATATCTGCTGTCTTGGGACTATCTCCTAATGATGCTGGTGGGAATGCCTCAATGGAAAGGAGATGGAGAGTAAAAATGAAAGAGCTTCAAAAGAGACATTTGAGTCTCAGTTTTCAATATGCAGAATTCTAATAGGTTTCATGATACTAGTTTCTCACTCTTCTCAAGAAAAGATGACTCAGTAGCTGGAATTTAAAGAATCTCTTCTGCAATGTTTTAGTGGACCTTGTGAAATCTCCATCTTCTTTTGCTGCCAGCTGCTTCATCTGAGATCACAGCCCTCACCTCTTGAACTTTTGTAAGAGTGGTGGGCTGAAAGAGAGAGCTCTTCTTCCAAGTCAATACGGTTTTGGATGACCACATGCTTCTTCCTGTAATAGGAGGTTAAATTCTCACTGTGAACTTTTAAGACTAAGTCCAGAGCCAATTAGATGTCAAGGGAGCACTTAAATTTCGTTAAGCAAATTAAAAAGCTTGTAAATGATGATAAGGTCACACATTCGTTTCACTGGATACCCCATGAGGACATTTCACCTATCCAGTGTTCTTGTCAGCAATCACCGTAGTCTGCACTCCTCTCAGGCATGGATATGAAAGACCTCAAATACAAAAGACACTATCAGGCAACTCAGCTACTTTGCAGTATTTTGCTTTCTGTGACTAGGAATAATACATTGGAAATTTCATCCTTTGACCTTTTAAAATGAATGCTGGATATTACTTTTGCTACCACCTAAATTTTGCACTAACTTGCTAACAGTATACAAGTGTCTTTGAGTGCATTACAAGAATGATAGAGTCAGATCTAATATTACACACTGATTACCGCTGTCTCACAAAAAGAGACATTTTATTGCAGACATATATATTAGACATTTGTATTAAACTACTTACATTTGTACACATTTGTAAGTTGCAGACTTTTTTTCAAGTGAAATAGTGAAAAACTTATATGTACACCTTAGAACATTCATGCTCATTATAACTTTCAGGTCATATATACAAATGTATATCGCTATTAGTTGCTTAACCATGATTCCTGATTTTCACATCTCTTTTGTCAGAACTTTAGTTTATCTTTATTGTCAAATGGAACAGATCATATTTCAACAGTCAGAAATCTTCTGAACTTGAAGAGTGTTCTGTTAAATTAGTTTTTCCATTTACTTACTGTATGATATTTAAATAACATTATATAGATACTATAGACCCAAATATATTTCTTGGGCTTATGACAATTTTTGCCTGCTGCATGACTTTTGTTTACTGAATCATATTAGCCTATTTTGGGGGGCATTACTTCTAACATTCCAAATTTATCAATGTATTTATCTGAAAGCTATTTGAGGAATGCATCATTCCTTCTTCCACATCTGAAATTTCTATCAAAAAACCCATGCTAGTTTGTGTACTAGTATAGTAAATACTCAGACTTACATCACTGTAAATTCTGAAAGCTGATGGGGTTAGCTGCACTCGACACTGCTTGGATTTATGCCTGCAGGTGGTGTTACTCCCTGTAGCTATATTTAAATCAACAGAGTTATGCTGATACGTGCCATCCTGGGTGAATATTTTGTGGTATGTATGGCCTAAAAAATACTAACGTGTTCAGAAGTGGCTGGTAATGTGTGTGCGGAGGGGCCGGAGAGGAAGGAGGGAGGTTAAGCTTGTGCATCTCCCGGAGGGTCTTTCACCCTGCAGTAGTTCTGCAGAAGGCAGACGCTTGGCTCTTTCTGGAAATCAGCACCGGTTCAGGAGTCAGGCTGCATGCTCATTTGCGACCACTAAAATCACAAGGTACTTGTGAAATAGCCAAGGGCATTGTGCCACTAAGCAAAAGTACAGCCTGGAAATCACTGAGAAGTCTAAGTTTAAGATATGGCTCATGCCTATAATCTATGTTCCGTACCGGTTATAGATTTCTGAATTATTATTTATGCTAATCTGTCATTGCGGCCTGCAAAACAAATCTTTTAGTTTAAAGGAAATCTAACATCAGTGAGAATATCAATTTTAAAAAATTACAAAATTACAAAATATAAAGTTTATGCAGATGTCAAAAAGACATAGTAGAGATGCTTAGTTGATATTTATTGGAAATAGTTTTATGTCCTTTTGTTTATTGCAGTTATAAGTAATGCAGCCATCTCTAACTCTTGCCAATAAAATATCTTTGTTGTTATACACCATAATGTATTCTCTCTCTCGCTCTTTCTTCTACATTCCTGTGTCTCGATACTAAATAGATACTAAATACATAACGTATAAGCCAAGGGTTAATTATCAGAGACTTTCATTCAGCTTGCCCAGAAACATCAAATACCCAGTATGACATTTAAGTATGTAAAATATTCAGCACTGTTTATAATGTCAAGCAAGAAGCTTCATTAGTCAAGGAGCAAAGAGATTTACACAACAGCAGAACTATGGCTTCTATACTTTGGCATCACAAGTCATGTCTCAAAAAGTTCTACGGAAACACTAATAAAAAAAATGTTGCTGACAATATTGACTGTGAAATTACATCTAGAAGCAATAAATTATCACGACTGTGTTGTAGACCAATTTTAGAATGGCTAATCAAAGCCAATAAATTTTCTATTTATTGAGAGAATTGGTAGTGGTTAGATCTAATGAAGACTGTTGATAGACACTCACTGTCCTAATTTCCTGCTTCATCAGAGCGTGTAACTGAAGTGAAGACTGACATCTTCGTCACCAGTTTTGGGCCTGTTTCAGACCATGATATGGTAAGTGATGGTCTACATTTCTACAGCATTCATTTTCTCTTGTCTTGTTAATTTGGAGGATGAGCGATCTCTGCAATAACTTATTTACTCCTTTTACGGCTGTTTTTTTAGACCCTTGATCCCAAAATGCTGTCAGCTTTTATGTGCAACCATTATTGTTAGCTTTGACTGCATTTAAGTGCCCTTAAATTAGCAGCCTCAGTGACTTTAATAATGTGTTTTAACAGAGCTTATATTTGCTACATAATATATTATGAATTGCATTAGGGTTTGGATCAGTACTCTTCAGCGAATGATTGCTCAGGTCCTAGCTGGCACATCACTGATCCAATTTGCTGAGAAAGATCATCATCTTAAAATGCAATTAACACTTATGCCTACAGTGTGACATCCATATGGTCTAACCTGTATTTTTATATTAAGAGCTACTGATCAATGGGAAGTGAGTTTCCTAGATCTTGGCTGCTGAAAGAGAAGAGAAGATTAATGAGAGAATTAGTGTCACTTCTTTGTGGCATGAATATGAAAATCAAATTGCTAGATAACTGCAGGGGATTCAGCAGTTCAGAAAACTGAATGAAGCTGTTGTGAGCCCTGTTCTAAAGAGATATTAAAAGTTGTGTAAAAATATGGATAAGGTACTTTAAATTTTCATATAAATGAGACTCTCACAAGTAGGTTGCTCTTGAGAGGGAAAGCCTGGTTACTAGTCCAGGATCTTCTGGATCCTGTGTTAGGACGAATGCTGAAAACCTCATTAATTTAAATGAAAAAAAAAAAACGAAACAGTTAAATCTTGTAGCTAGCCACATTTAGCTAAAGACGTTCACCAAAGGAAAGAGGAAAGAAAAATAAGAGGACAAATTATCACAGAAAAGGAAACATTCCCTTTATCACTACAAAATTGTCAGTTTTTTAGTTTGAACTAACACTATGAACTAACTTGAGACAGGTCTTAATCAGCAGGTAATAAGTTTCTGACCACTCAACAAAATGTTCAGGGATGGAATAACAGGAAAGTAACTGTACAAGATAATTTATTTTCCGAGATGCACTTTGTGCATTTTCCTGATGGCCTGGATGATAACACTCATGTAATTACAACCACATTTATAATTGCAGCTGATGCCATGATATTTGAACCTGAAAGAATAGCTTGAGCAGCACAGATTATTTGACCAATCTTTCTGCTAAGAAGTCCTACCAATAAGGGTTATTTAGGGAAACAGCTAGACCAATGACTCGTCTTCTCAGCACACATATACAGTACTGTATTTAAGTAGTATACAACAGAGAAGAAGAATTCAAAAAACTTCATTCAATGACTTTTGCTTTCTATTCTATCTGTGATAATCTTGTGAAGTTACAAGGTCTATTTATTACTCTAAATTATATATTAAAACAGTAGAAAGTCCTTGGATTAAAGCTTGGTATAAACCAATGCCACTATTTTTGTTCTGGTGATTAGTTCAGCAAATCACTTCATCTTGCTTTCCCATTTCAGGATGCAAATAGGTAACCAGTCACCATGGTTCCAACTGAGAACTTTAAAAACAAGCAAAAAGGACTAAAATATCCTTTTTAAGTTAATAGGCTTTGAATTAAAACTCTAGCAGCTGCAGCTTGTAAAAGTGATCTGAGATTGTTCCATTCTTGGAGAGGCCTTGAAGAGACTTTCTTTTTGGGAGGTAGCTACCCATTTCCTGAAAATTAAGGTCCTTTAAAGTATTGAGCTGGACATCTGTTTGTGGGAGGTGAACAAAAAAAAAAAATAGATATATAGGTAGATGAAAATATTCTTTAAACTGATATTTGTTTGAGTTGTTCTCTGCAAATTGCCTGGCTAAACTGTTGTTTGCTCTGTTGTGTCAGATTTAATATGAAACTCCAAAAATGAATGGCTAACTAACAAACAAATGGGCATAAATGATTTCCTACATGTAGACATAAGATTAAAGCAACCAATAGGCTAGCTGATGGGACTAGCCCACATTTGGACTTCTGTTTCTACTTATACTTGGCAGATTCAGGTAATATAAGTATTAAATAGAAGGTAAAGCTAATTTGACATTCCTGGGAAAACTGGTATCTGTGTGAGATTTGGGCTTTAGAGAAGGATAAAATATTGAAGCCAAAAATAATCTACTTCCAGAATTAGGAATAGGTGTATTTGCAAGAAAACAAATTGACCTCAGTATAGCTAGCTGAATTATTATAGCAGAAGCAAAAAAAAAAAGATTCTCAAAAATAATTTTAAAACCCATACCACATTGTCTCCTGATTTTCACTTAGTTAATATTGGAGAAAGACATCATCAATCTCTTAATAAAGTGTGTGAACAAGAAACACAGAGACAGGTGTTCACATATTTTGAAAACTACGGCATTACAGATAGGTATTTAGTGTAGAACTCCTCTACTCACCTCCCATGAAAAGTAATCTCTGTGCAGCCTACTCGTGCTAACTCTTTTGCTGAAGGAAATATGTGTGAAATAAGAAAAACACAGAGAGAAAGATATAATGAAGAGCTTACCAGAATGTAAAGTCTGTTTGAACTTCAGTGTAAATTTAGAGCGCGAGGTCTTCTGTGCGTATACGTTCATTATAGACGCTGGCATTTGAAGGCCACCCCAAAATTGCTCCAGTGACCAGACTGACTGTCCATGCAGATTGGCTTGTGAGATTCGATCACAAGAAGGCCTCAAAAGCAACTGTATTGGCACATTAGGGAGCAGAATGGGTTCCTCTAGGAGCCTGGGACTGATGGCTGGAGCTGGGAATGAGTTATTCCAGCTGACGCCATATGTTATAAAACTGCAGCCGTAACGAGACACCAGGCATACCTAGACCATCTGTTTGGAGGAATCCAATGAGGCAGTTATATAGATAGCAGGTTGATATATCAGGGAGTACATGGTGTTCCTACCCACTCTCAAGACACTCTTTAAGAGCAGCATAGACATAACCTGCTATTCTATACAGAGAAAGTCTTGGATCCTTCTTAAACCTGTGAATAAAGCAGGAGAAAAGCACTTTTTTCTAAAATAACAACATCTTTTTTTCAAAGAGTTTTGCGGGTTTTCAGGCATCATCTCAGATCGTGAATTGAACTAATCAACAGATAACTGACTATTCTCAGATGACTGTCCTTACTTATTTTTGTGAAGGCTTTGATTTACATTCTCTGGAATAAGAACGTTTTAAAGTTCACCTTTTTCATACAGACGGAATTATTTTTTTCTAGTGGACCTTCATTCCCTCTGTTTCTTTACTCTAAGCTCTTCAGGAAAGGATTTCTGTCTTCCTACCTTCCTGTCCAAGATCCAGTATACTACAGACCATGGTGTGTTCTACCTTGTGAATAAACCAGCTATCTTCAGGGAGAGATAAAATGTAAATAAATTACAAAATACAGCAAATGTTAAATGCTTTCCTTCCTGGATCTCACATTTAAGCAAATATGCTATAAATATGTTATACAATACAGTTTATTGCCAAGGTGCAGAGAGGAATCTTCTTTCTTTACCTGCACACTAAGGAATGAACCACCTCCTCTGTGGAGAGTTCAGTCTGAATCTCATCTGACTCATCTATTTGCACATAGATCAGAGTGACAGCAGATGGCTTGGAGAAAATATTACTCTTCCCTTACTCTGTATGGCACACTCCTGTAGAAAAAAAGCCCTAATTGGAATAAGAGTATCTGATGACCTGGTCTTAAAATCAGCTGTCTGTCAGGATTCATTTAAGCAGAATTATTGCTCACGTTAAAGTGTGTAGTGGAAACTAAGGACGTGAGAAAGCTCAGCCAAAATGAATTTATGCTTTATCATGCAGCAGCCTGGGATAGAGAAACACATAGTCCGTGCCAGGCATGACCTGTCAGCTACTTTTTAATTGATTTTTTTGTCTTCCGCTGTCAGATCCCTTATCCAATCTCTCAGACTCTTTGTTCTTTTCCAGCTTAAGAATCGTGGGTTAACATAAAGTGAAGAACCAAACTCCCTCCTCTCAACCTGTAACACCACCCACTCACCTCCTTTTTTGCAGTACCAAGATATGAAAAGGGAATAGCTAAAATTCATACTGAAGTGATGTCACCTTCTGGGCATGTTTTTTACCCTTCCCATGTGTTTAGAAGGAAATCTTCTGTGGAGCTAGTGAAATACAGTGGAAACCCAACATTTGAATGTCATTTGCTGCCCTTTAAATCTGCTTCTCTCTCTTCCACTCTGCTGCACACCTGGGTCAAGATTTCACACATGGTTCAATCAGAGGCCCCAATCCAGCAAAATCCTGAAGCGAGCAGTTGCCTATAAGCACGTAACTGCTGTCCCTGGAGCCAAACAGATCCAGTATCCAGTAGCTCATTGAGCAGGTGACTAAAGTGGAAATGCTTAGATTTTAATATATGTCAAAATGATTCAGAGTATTGGGGTGTAAAGAAAAGACAAAAATAAGACCATCCCATGGAACTACAACATTTTAACGTCCACAAGAAATGTATTTAGGCGTTTCATGCCCTGAAACACAGTGACAGACAATCACCCTCCGTATTTGCTGAGAAATTCTTGAAGAATAAAGAGCTCACAACTACCTATGTTGCAATTTGTTAAAATGAAAATCACAACGTTATGGAAGTCTATTATGGTGAAATTTTGCACATTCATTCCAGAATGCTTCTCTTCGCTAACATATTCCCTTGGGGCAGCTCTTTTACTTCTAGCTTTGAATATGCCTGAGCCATTTTCCTTCAGCATTTGCCATCAGTCCTTTGGTAAGAGATCTCAGCAAAGCTTCAGTTTCTAAGGCAAAAGATTATCATTCAGGGCAATTTTGAACAGCTACTTTTGATACTCATCACAACATCATAACAATGACTGATGGAAAGGGCAGGTTAATCCTATACTTCACTTTTGTGTTGGGGTGGCATTTTTAACTTGGAAAATACTGCACCATACTATATCCACTGGAGTCATTTGTATTTTCACCTCAGTCCATTGGGGACCTAGTCAGTGTTTTATTCATAATGCCGCAAAATATTTTTCCTAATTTCAACCTCTTAGCTTCCGTTCCTGCTGCTTTGTAGTACATCAGATAATTCTTTCATTTCTTAGTGAGCGCCGGTTATTTTAATTCCCCTCATGTACACCGAATCAGCTTCCGTGTCTCTTCCTGCTTTGTTCCAGTCCTTGCGTAACCAAACTATAATTCTTGGTCCAAAACTGGCCTCGGCTTGCACTCTCTGTAGTCCAATGATTTGGCCCACTGAGCTGTTTTACTTCTCATAAATCAGACCCCATAATTTCAGCGATCTGTGAACTTTTCCCAGGTTGACTACATGTTTATGCTAATGAGACGCCTAGAACAAAAGGCGCTAGTAAGATCCTGTCTCACCAGGTTTGTTTTATACAAAAAGACATATTCTTCCTCATACTGAGCATAATGGCTTAATATCCAAAGCTTTAAATTACAGTTTTATGGAAGGGGAAGGGAAAGTGAGAAGAGGATGAATTATTTTGCTTCTATGATATTATATCGCAAATTCTTGTCTAACTTTTGATATACAATTCTCCCAAACTTTTATTCTGTTGAATACAGTAATGATATTGTAACTATTTAATAACCAGCTTCAGATATATTGGATGTGATATAGAGAATACATGTTCTGATAATTACTGATTTCATTAATAGTCTTGCTTTTAAGAGAACGGTAAGAATATACCTATCAAGTTCTTGTACTGCAATATATTACATCATGAGAGGTTCCCTGTTTTCTGACTTGATGTAGGAGTACACTATAGATGTATTTTTCCGCCAAAGCTGGAAAGATGAGCGATTAAAATTCAAAGGACCTATGACTGTTCTCCGGTTAAATAATTTAATGGCCAGCAAAATTTGGACACCTGATACCTTTTTCCACAACGGAAAGAAGTCAGTGGCTCATAACATGACGATGCCAAATAAACTACTACGAATTACAGAGGATGGGACATTGCTGTACACAATGAGGTGAGCCCTAAAATAAAATATGCTTCATTTAATTTGACAGTTTGTTAAAGCCTCATATTTTCCAAACAGGAAACAGGCAGGTTCCTTTTCGAGCATAATGTGATTCCTACTTAGCTATTATTTTCACAATAGGCCATAGGATGATGGAGAAATTGAGGAGTGTGCAGTGTTCTTTTTTACCCTCCTGCTGTGCCACCTTTTACACTTCCTAGATGTGTCTCGATGCTTGATTTTTAAAAGGTGCCTAGAGTTTTAGGCATCAGCCAACTTCCAGCAGACCTTAACTTGGAGATGCTTTCAACGATCCTAACTCTAGAGTATAATGAAACCAAAAAGCTTAATTTAATCTAGCCAACTCGACCAAAATGAGTCTTTAATCTTTGGATACTGTCGAAAGCAGAGTCTAAGAACTACCAGATGAGCACAGAATTCATTGCACATTTTTCATATTTGTTGTGTTTGTCAGGAATGCAGAGCATGAGAATCTAAAAATGGTCATTTCTTAGTCTTTTCATTGCAAGAAAAACAATACATTAAAGTATTTGAAAAGGTAGAGGAATGGATGATTTCTGTGATCACCAGTCTTATTGGAAATACATTATTTTCTTCATGGATAACTGAACTTGAGCTAACCAGTCATCAGCAGAGGAGTTAATTAAATTGGTTGAATTAATGATGATACATAGTGATGGAAACATTCTGGATTAAAAGACCTCAAATTTAAAATTAAAAACAAAATTGGCATGTTGTCTCCACAGAGCTACACTTGCCCCATTTATTTCTCCTGGGAATCAAACCAGGTTTAATGTAATTCGTTTGACTCAAAGTCAAGATGGATAGCTTAGTACATAGGTGAACACTGAGCTTTCTTTTAACAATTCTAACGTGTTTAAAAGCAGTACAAATATTTGGAGAAAACAAAGTCTTCAGGCTCTTGGAAGTCTGTCAAATATGTTCATTTTTTCCTGAAACATCTTTCAAGACTGCCTAGGCTAGGGCAGAATCTGCTGGGCTGGTAGCTATACAAGTCCAGGTAAATTTTTTGTCTTCCTAAATGCCTGGTTGTTAGAGATTTAATCCACAGGAACACTATCTTGCTGGCATATTGTTCAAATACGTCCTTTTTTTTTTTTTTTTTTTTTTGCCGTAACCATTTCTTTTTCCTCACCTTTGCAAGTACCTTGTGCCTGGTATTCAACTATTATTATCCGTTCCTTGCTGATATGTGATCTCTGATTGTTTCAGGAACTGTTTCTAGTTTATTTAATCTCTTTTATTGAGGAACCTGTTTGCACCCAAGCTGAAAGCCCCAAATGATTTCAGCAAATGTCTGAACATCCAGAGTGGGCCAGTTCAATGATGGCAGCAAGGAAATGATTCCAGTTTCTAATAGATTTTAATCTGTACACCAAGTTACAACTGCAAGCATGTCTCCGCTGTACAGTGAGACAGGGGCAGTGCCAGTTGCACCACTATGTCCACATATGTGCGTCAGCACCTGGCAATGAGACAACTCATGCTAACCACTAACTAACCACATAACAGATGTCGTGCTGTACTTATTTTATGTGTCTTAATAGAAGTCTATTTGCTATTTCTATGAAACTAGAGTAAATGTGACCTTTTGCTCATTAATCCGTTATAGATTGACTGTGAGAGCAGAATGTCCAATGCATTTAGAAGACTTTCCTATGGATGCACATGCTTGCCCCTTGAAATTTGGAAGCTGTAAGTTTATTTTTCAATTGAGGTTTCTCCATTTTAAGGCCACTTTACGAAAGTATTTTGCAACTGAGCAAACGTCAAGGTTTTAAATCTTGCTTATTTTTCACTCTTCTTGCAGGGTTGTATTTTTGTTCTTATATACATACACATACTTAATATAATGAACCTCTCCTATGCATCTTAAATATCTGCCGGCGTCATGCCTGGTCATTCGTAAAGGAGAAAAATGACTGCAGTCCAAATGTGTAGAAACTGAGTTATAGTTTGACACATAGAAAAGATTGTTTGCCTCATAGCTGCTTTATTTTGTTAAGTGCCAAAACTGATATTAGAGAACAAGTAATTTAGACAATGGATAACTGAATTGGTTTAGGTGAAAATAATTCCTTTCCCAGCTTGGGCATATTTTGAACAAATACTATTATAAAATGTTCATATTATAATTTTTTTAAAAGTTCTAACTCAAATGAAGATGTTAACATGCCACAGACAATAGTAATCATATGACATTTCTGGAAGTGAAAAAACTCATGAGTCCTACACTTGCAAGATTTTAACTTTAATTTAGAGAACACACTGGGCAAAATCTAATGCAACTGAAATTCGGTGTAATAACTGACACTACTTTCAATTAGTCCAGAATTTCCTCCAGAACTTTAATTTGAATAAACAATGAACATGGCATTGTTTCTTGGAAACCTAACTGAACATATTATTTCATGTATTAAGTAAAAAAAAAAAAAAACCTTTCAACTCTTTAAGTAAAAAGATATCAGGAGCTGTTTTACTTTGGTTGCTTCAGCACAAACAAGGAAGAGAAAATGAGTGGAAAATGTAATAGTGTACAAATTGTTTCCTCAATGGCTATTTTTTCCAGTAGAAATTGGTCATTTCACTGATAATGGGTACTTAGTGGCTTGATCTATTTTAGAAGTCAACAAACGAAACACCCAATTCATTCTTCACAGGGTACCAGACGCTAATAATTTACTTTGGGCTGAATAGCTAGCTCTATGTTTACTATGAAAAAGGACTGATAGGTTGTTTTAAAGAGCTACTAGTCTCCTAGATAAGATTTGGAAAACAAAAAGCTCATAGAAACTTGGAGGATAACTGACAAGAGTAGTTTACTACTTGGATGTTAAATTTTCTGACAGCACTTCCGATAAATCTTTCCAAATCTCCTGTAAAACAGAAGGGAGAAAAATAAGCCTTCCCCCAACTAATGAAGGGCAAATAGCTGCAGTGGTTCCTCCATCAGTAACAGCAACCTGCGCTCCTGGGATCACCTGCAAGTACCAGCTAGATCAGGAGCGCTCACAGGACTGAACTTCTTTTGAACTGCACGACGCAGAGCACATGCCAGCTGTATTCTGGATCTGGGGGGTGCTAACACAAAGTTCAACCAACAGTTTTTGAACAAATGTGAACCAGCAGACTGAATATATATAGAAGTGGTAAGAAATCTATCACCTTATTCATGTATCACTGAGCCACAGCCTAAAACACCAGAGAAACTCTCAGATGTGGGTAATAGTTTCCATTTTTTTCCTACCCTCAGTTCTTTCTGGCCCACTGTGTCCCAGAGTAGAGGAGTCTTGGCTCTAAAAGTGCTGGGTTTTCCAGATCGCTAAGGATGCTGCTTCAACTAAATGAGAAAGAGATGCAGAAATTATGGATAAAGAGGGATAGATAATATAGATGTGAGTACAACTCCAGAACCATAACAAAGGGTAAAAAAAAAGACAGCGAAAAGATAGGCAGATGTATTGTTTGTGTCTTATGTTGGTTTTCTCTTTATCCTGCAAAACATTTTTTATTCTCATCAACACGATTCCTCTTAAAATGAACAAAACAGAAACAAAAGAAAAATCAGAGGTTTATTTCTGATTGAAAGACCATATCTTACCTTAATGTCAGAGGTGATACCTGGTATCCTAAGCTCAGAGTGCAGTCATGGTCTGTCATGTTTTACAGGCTATTTTCCTTATTTTTTCTTTTGAACGCTAACTAGCTATCCTGCCAGCGGTCCTAAACCCGCAGCAGTCCTTTACACAAGCATCACATACACAAAATGAACAACTGCAAAGGCTGGGGAGGGCCATGGGACCAAAGCAAGGAGTTCTCACAGAAACTTCCATTCCCGTCCTAATCTCCGGGAAGTTTCTCACCTGAGACCCGCATGATTCTGCAACATACTCTTACTGCAAACGCTTCACAGTCCAGAACAGGGCCTTAAACCTGGACCTCTCCTCTCCTTCTCATCAGATTATACATTGTAATTGTCAGATTATAGAGTATTTCTGTCTCCATTACTATTTAATTATTGATATAAATAGGAATGTCTCCCACTGGACATATGGCTGGACTCAGGCAGGGTATGCAAATGAGACTCACAGTTGTACATACAAAAGGAGAGTAGGTCTTACGTTTAATTATTGCTTTTTCAGTTGGAATCGCATTCCAATATTTTGGGACATTTTTATCAAATAATTTAAGCAATTCATAAAATTCATCCTAATAGACTGAAAAAATTATCTGAAAGAGACTTAGTCATTATGAAAGCCACACTTTAAGCCCCGAATACAGTACTATACTTAGTAGCTCTGCAAGGTAGTGTCTGCCCAGTAGTGTTTGTTTTGAATTAAATTGCATAAGGGTTTTTCTGTGTCCTCCAGTTACTCCTCACATGCTGGAGCTGGATCAAGAAGGGTCTCGTGTTGATGGAGTGGCACTCACCCCTCTGGACTCTACACACGCTGGAGAGGCCAATAAACGCTTCACCCAGCTCCAAGGCTAAAGTGACTTGCCAAAATAGCAGCTTAAGCTAGAGGTTATTCCAATGTAAATTCGATGTGACAAATGCTAAAGAGGCTTCTGGAACAACAAAAAGCCATATGTTGGCAAAAGCAAAATCAGAAAGGCAGCTGCTCTCCTCAGCTCTTCCCACAAGGACCTGATTGTCAGTTTAGTTCATGACTACCCATTTAAAACCAAGACCGCTCCAGAAAGCAGCCGGGATGGGAGCGAAAGGATGTTTTGTGTTGCTACTTATGCAATACGTGAGTCAGATGCTGAGGTCGGGGCGAGGGGAGGTGAGACTCTGCAGCGTGAACGGGGAATCGAACGTGGCGGTCATGGAGTTGCAGGGCCGGGCGAGCTGATTTCCAGAGCCGCTGAGCGCACGCCGTTCTCACTGGCTCCCAGTCTGCTGGCTCTCGGCAGGTCAGAAAATCAGGCCCGTCTTCCAAACTACTTTTGAGCTGCAGAGGAGGTAAAATGCTTGAAACTGAATATTAATATTGCCACTCTTCCTTTATGTGACTAGATTAACCGGCAAATGCTTGCACTTATTGAGGCCATTGTTTTTAAGGTCACAATTATTAAGATGTAGATTTGCATTTACCATTGCTTCCAGGAAAGCTATGAATATGTTACAGTGCTTGGGGAATATGAAAGCTGAGGGCAAAAGCTCCCTTCTACTTCAATAATGCAGGATCAAATGCCATGCAATTAACTTACTAGCACGCTCCACCCAGTGCCACCTCTGCAATTACTAACTGCTATCTCTCACACTGGTAAGATAAAATTATTAGCTCACAAATGAGGTCAACTGAATCAGATTCCTTCGCTTCCCTTCCTGTTTGCCGCTCCTGAAAACGCACAGGGGAAATCTTATCGTGCAGGTAGGAGTCAGTTAGCTACCTAAATATACCTGTGCACTGCCATTTCAGATGCACTAAGCTATCCTATTTGGCATCCAGCCAAATAGCCTTTGGTGGGTGCAAGCTTTACGTAGGTGCTGGTCACGTGTTCAGTCCCACGTGTATGTCCTCGGTGCTCATAGATGTCTGAAACACACTAAGTGCCTACACTTAGACAAGTAACTCCCACTCTAGCCGCTCTGAGCAAGAGCTGTCACACTGCAGACACGGCAAACTGGCAGAAGAATTTTACCATAGGACTAGGAAAAAAATCCTTATATGTAGTTTAATTCCTGAATAATAACATACTAATAACAGTACAAAACACCAGGATGGTAAATGCAGCATCGTAGATACAATGCTACTGAATTATCTCTATAACATATGAGACTAATCAGGATTGTAGTGTTTTTCTTTTGCTTTGTTCAGGGCTTGAATAAATGTGAACAAAGAAAAGAACTTTCTGCATTTTCCGGAAATAAGCAAAGAATAATACCTCCATTGTAATGAAAAACCATTTGAGCCTAGGCAGAAATGTCTGCTATGCCCATTGTCCAGCAAGGGCAGTCCGAGGTGGGAATGACAAATGGTGAGCTATAGCCAGACTGATGCAGAGGAAATCGTTGAAGCTACTCTTAGAAAGTCTTATTTTCTTACAGGGGCCCAGTCAACACCACAAAGAGTTGAAAAGGTTAGGGTGCATCTTTCTTGACTGTGGTTGAAAGTTAGGAAAGCAGCTGGGGTCCTTGCCTACCCATGAGACTCCCCATCTCACTCTCCCTTCTGCTTACTCAGCTTTTATACAGGTAGGAATGACGTAAGGGATGGAAAGATTTTCATGCCATTGAGGACAGACCTTTATTCAGCGCTACAGTAAACGTTTAGCTAACCATGATGTGGATAGACAAATAGATTCAATAATATTTCCCATAGATGCAAAGTTTGAATAAGCTGGCTGGGGGTTCTCTACAGAAAATTAAAGAGAATTTAATATCCAGATTACTACTCAAAAGTTTTTTTGTTAAAGCTATATCAGCAGTAAAAATGTGAAAAGCTGAAATGTAATGTATTTCTTTTAAATTAGATGCTTATACCAGAGCAGAGGTTGTGTACGAATGGACACGGGAGCCAGCAAGATCAGTGGTAGTGGCTGAAGACGGCTCTCGATTGAACCAATACGATCTGCTTGGACAGACTGTGGACTCTGGAATTGTTCAGTCCAGTACAGGTGGGTAAAATAAATTTTCTGGGAAGGGCCATGGGCCTGCGTTGTTAGAGGATCTTTAACTGACAAAATTGAGTCTAAACTAGAGCAAGTGATGTAAATTGCAATATATGAGCTACAGAATAGGAAGAGAAGACTGTCAAAAGATAGCATAGCCTAGGAATATTGTCACACTTCCGATGGTGGTTAAAACATTCAAGAAGTTAAAAAGCTTACCATAGTGACATATCTAACCAGAACAAATAATAATTTACATTAGATAGATGTAGAGCCTATCTTTATCATACTATCTGCTTACGATATAAGCTGAAAAAGGAACATCAGAATAGGAATCCCCAGAAGACCATATTCCTGGAGTAGGCAGTGAAGTAGGATGCTGAAAGCAACCACATAAGCTCTCAAGGAGGTATTTAAAGGAAACAAAACATTTCATCAAATTACAAACCATTTGGAACAGCCAGACATAAGATTTAGGTGTCTTAATGCTAGCAGCAGCTTTAACTCCAAAACTGCTAATAGTGAGATGTAGAAAAATAGCCCAGTATTATATAGCTGTAACTTTGGAGCAGGTTAAAAATTTTTTGCTTCTTTACTGCTCAATGGAAAGATTTAATCTTTAGTTGGCTATTTTGAAAAGAGAACAAAGACCAAAATACAGTAATAAACTGAGCACTGGGAATGAACAAGAGTTCAAACTGTTGACTGGACTGAATGTTCAAAGGACCAGCGAGAAGTGCTCCACTAGAAGTAGCTGCGTTGCTTTCAATGCAACCAAGGCAACAGCTAAAGTAGTATACTTGCATAAACCAAACTTTTTAAATATTTCATTCATAAAGTGAACAAACACTTCAGGGAAAGTGAGTCAATTTAGGGTGAACACTAAATCCATACCTGAATTTTTTATTTAGCTAGTCACCATATACTCATATGCCCTATTAAGCCTACATTTCTCATAGACAAAAGGTTCTAGCGCACTAATATTCAGCTTAGTGCTTGGAAGCTGATGGTCAGTTAACGTAATCAAAACGTAACTAGAATGGGATTTTGCATATAAAGACTTTGCATAAGAACAATATTAACAATCAATAGATTCACTGCTTTTGTTGAGCACTAGAACATGGGTCAGACAAATGGAAAGGGGAGAACTCGCAGCCTGGCCAGTTGGAGATGTTGCTGCTGACTTTTGTGGAGGCAGTAATTCACCCCAGCTGTCCTTTGCTGAAAAGTCAATAGTATTTGTAAGGAACTGCAAAGAGCCCGAGCTCTTTACTCTTTCTGTTGTGAAGCTGCTCACTCAGAGAGACCTCAGCAACCTGCACGACTGCCCTTCCGTGCTCAGCACCAGTTCTCTGCTTAGGGGCTGTATTATGAGGATGGCAGGACAGTCAGGAGAGACTCATAAGCCTGGGAAGATATTTAAACTGGATAGCTAATACCAGATATAGTTCAGGATAATTAGATAGCAATGTGAGTAGCACTCTATAAATTCTTAAGAAAGGCAGATAATAAATTTTTAAACAGTACTGAAGGCAAACCTAGGAAGTATAAAAATTCTTGACGCACTTCCACGAAGAAACTAAATTATCTCTCTTTTCCCTGTAATGCTTTATAGGTCTCAATTCCACCTCCTTTTTCTATCTGAGAAAACACTTTATCATGCCTATGCATAAACTTAAACGCTACTTAATGCTTGCTGAAATAAATACATTATTGTCTAGATGCAGAAAACATTACAAAGGACTAAATACAGTGGTTATCAAAACTAAAAATAAACCCATTAAATTATCTTCTTGGTACCAAACATGCAATCCCCTTAATACATGCCTTTACCAAAATGGTGTGGGGCATCAAAAGTGGTTAATAATCGCTTTTCTCCCCGTTCAGGTAGGTGTGCAGCTAGTCCCAAGAGAATCCTTCAATACATCTTTATCCTCTGAACATCTCTGTTTTGAGATGTAAGGCACATGTAATGAAAATTATGAAAATCCTCCCTACTTTCAGAGTTATCGGGGATGAGTCATCTGACAAAAAGACAAAATAACTGAAGACGATCTTCATTTAAGAGTTCTCAGCACCTATATTAGGCGAGAAAATGAAGCTATAGTGCAGCGATTCTGTGAAGTGTTGAAGGAATCTGCAAGATCTTGTGCAAACTTAATTAACGAACCCCAAATTCTGAATTTTTCATGAAGTGGGATCTGCAATTGTCATGTGTTTTAAAGACTTAAATGTTTTTCCAGTATAATTTTTCATCCATGTTGGAAATGAAAGAATATTCTCCGTTTCCTTGCACGCACAACTACCATGTGGTAAACAAAATAATAGTTATTGTTGCTGTTGCTGTGCTCAGGCACAGAGTCATCCATTGTTGAGATGTATGTGAAATTACTGTCAGTCTCCAACTACTGAGTCTTTCTGATTCAGAAAGACTTTAAAATTATCTTTTTTGTAAGATCTTCTTAAAAGAAAAACAGATGCTCAAAAGGTTTCTACAAATTTCTATTTACAGGGATCTATTTTGCCACCTTGAAAATATTTTTGTGCTGAAAACCAGCAGGATTTGTACTCACTAAATGGTATATTCTTTTTTTAATGCTCTGTACATCTGCTGAGAGGATACTTTTCTAAAGATTTTTTTTTTTCTGCTAGGTTATACAGTATAAAAAATAAATGAAAAATACTGTACTTTAAATTAATGGCAAGGAAAGCTTTATTTCTACCCACAGTGATAGAAAAATATTGTTATAGCTGAAACTCAGCCCCCACCTCAAAACTCATGCTTGATGCTGTGATACACATTAATTTTAGGTACCCATCTGACAATCAGCTGGGTTTGTTAAAAAAATAGTTTACAGAAGTAACAGCTCTGAAGCAACTATAATGAATATCAATCATTTTCTTCTGAGGAGACATGTTAATTTATACCACTTGAAAACATTTGACTCTTAAAGACAGCGATATACTGTAGAATTAAGGGCTGATTAAGCATTGCAGCTGGAAAAGCGTTGAGTACAAACAAACTCTTCTAGAGCACTGGAAATGTTCAAATGTGGAAATGGCTCGAAAAGTTTGGTTAGTATAGATGAAGGAGTTATGTGCCCATTCCTAAGGGCTTCCTTTTGTATAATATGAATAAACTAATTTAAACTTCATGGAATAAATGAAATGAAAAACCAATTAGTTTATCTGCTCCACACGGTTATTTATCAAAGACCTCAGGGATTGCCGGGCAGTTAGAAAGAAATACCTTAGAGATAAATAAGAGAACCTAAGATGCATAAACTGCAGCTCTTGTTATTTTTCAATTAAAGCCTAAAAGTAGTCAGACTCTATGAACATAGGAAAGATATTACTCGAAGCACTATTTGAAATTTTAGCCTGTGGGGAATTACATGGCTGAATTACAAACCTTTGAAAACAGAATTAGAGGAACTCTCGCTGGGAAGTTGGACAGTGGTCGGCAGCTGTCGTGAATGCTGCCGTGCATTTCAATTAAACAGACCCAAAAAACGCAGGAAGCTAAAGATACATTAAATAACTGGCGTGTTCTTATGTCCTACAGTTATTTAGATAAATCTCATCAAAGATTACTTCTAATCAAAGATATATTCTAATAAATTATTGCAGTCCATTGGTAGTTTTGAGACTTAGAAAATGTTTTTGCCTTGTAATTTAAATGTAGGCATTATTTTAGGCCTATGCTTTGCTTGATACGCTACTTATGGTATTATCTTTAGCAGGCTACTAGCTCAGACCTGTTACAATATTTTCCAGATCACAGTAGTCCCTGTCTTTTTAATTGCCTTTATGCTTTGAATCTTGTTCTCATTTTCCAGAGGTTAAAAATACTTTCATAATTTAAGCAGCTAAACAAAGCTTCAGCGTACAGTGGTGTGTTCGCGCTGCGCTCTTAGCTTGCCATCCACAATCACTGAATTACTTCTGACATACTGTTGTGATCGTGCTATATCTGATTGCATTAAAATAGCTTCTCACGTCATATTTTAGTAAATAAAAAATAAATTATTGCCTGTCTGAGCCAGGACCGGTACCCTTCATAAAATGATAACCTCTGAGGAAAAAAAGGTTATTTTGGTGAAAGTTAAAGAAAGGTGGGCATAATTCTAGTCGCAGTGCCCATTATCCTGCTCCTGCCAGCGTTATTTCTGAAAGAAAATTTTCCTTGTATATCCTGTGCTCTACCTCTCAATTTATAATTGATTTTTTTTCCCCCTTTGCTACTGTCTTCTATCTTATATTGAAACATAGCAGGAATATTGTCACATCCTATTTATAAGCTTGCCTTGGGGTTATAAGTTGAGCAAGATTGTTCAAATGAATGTTCTTCCAGACTCTGAATCAAAGAAAAGGGCATTTGACGTGCTTGGTGCATAAGCAGTCAATGTCTAGACATAGCTTTTCAATGCAGTTTAAGCTTTTCCTGTGCAAGTGCAACTCTCTCTTTCCAGTTGCCTATATTTTAAAAGAGAATAATGGTATTTTCACGTGTCATCTCTAATTTAGACAGAGATTTCTTTTCAGTTACAAGTCCTCCTGTTTCTTTCCTAAGCTAATGGCTATTGTATAAAGGATCAGTCTATACTGAACAAAACGTCACAACAACAGGTTTTCCTGTCTTTTGAGAACACTTCTTTTTTTTTTTTCCAAAATCCATTTTCAGTGACGCTGGAAATAATGGTGTGAGAATGGAGCGTTACTCGCTGCGCTCTGGCAGGAAAGGTTTATACAAATACTTAAGATCCCCTTTGATGGTAATCTCATATGTTTTTGCAGCACCCAAAAAGGCAGTGTCAATGAAAATATTCTGTGCGGTTCTTGCCTCAGCTATTTACTTCAGGAGAGAGTACTGCTCTCGCAAGGTCCTGCGCTAGCAGTGCACGGCTGCTTCATCTTCAGAACAGATAAAGCGCAGGCAGTGGCGAGTCAAACACAGTCACATCAACCATTACAGCTTAAGCCTGGCCTAGCTGAAACGTGTCTGAACGCCCGTCTTCATTTAGTCTCTGAACGACGTTTGCATGCGTATACTACGGTGATTTTGCATCTTCTAATGGAATGAGGCCTCGCGCAAGAGACCTGAGCAGCCACCAGTTGATGCAAACTTTTATTCACTACTCAGAGAAGATGAAAAGATGCGAGTTTAATTAATGTTTCCCAGAACTGTCTAGTTTTGTATTATTAGTGGAATTTTAATATCTGCTTTATTGAATGTTTTCTTCAGCACTTACCCAACTTGATCCAAGGACCAATAGGATCCAATAGGAGTGAATACAAAGAAAAAATGCCTCCTACAAAGCCTTCTAATCTGTAAAGTTGTAAAAGCTTTAATTTTCCTATTTTTCTTGTTTTTAGGGGAATATGTTGTTATGACTACGCATTTTCATTTGAAGAGAAAGATTGGTTACTTTGTCATTCAGACTTATCTGCCTTGCATCATGACAGTGATTCTGTCACAGGTTTCCTTCTGGCTTAATAGAGAATCTGTTCCAGCAAGGACTGTATTTGGTAAGCAAAACTGATAAACTGTTTGGTTCATGGTATGCCAAATAAGTATAAGAAATGTTATGGTAAAGCAGGTTGTGATATCAGAGAACAGCGTGAGCCTGTATATAGTGCAGTGCACAACAGTTAACATTTCATTGCAAAGACGTAGCAGAAACTGATTGTCTAAGATCTAAACCATTTAAATTGGTTGTAAAAAGGGACCTGAAAATATCTTGAATGATCTAGTCCAGTTCTGCTTTTCCAAAACAAGTACATAGAAAAATGGAAATAATACACATGTATAATAAACATAAATAAAAAAGGGAAACAGTAGCAATGACATTCATGGCAGAGACTGACAAAAAGGTTTTCATCAGTGGGTGTTGGTCACTTGATATTCTTAGGCCATTTGAAAATACTTATCTTAAAAATCTTTTTCAACAATCCCTTTTCTACACTGCTGCTAAAGGTCTGTTGAAATCAGTGACAAAATTTATTGTCCTGCGGTGGTGAATAGATTCACTCAATGAATGCAGTAAGAGAATCTAAAGGACTCTTCAGTTATACGGCTGGTCCCTGGTGTTTTAACCATTGACTACGAACGCTTATTTTATAATTAGAAACAAACAACTAGCACATTTTTTGGAGATACTAATCCATGTCAAGTGTATAATTAAAAAAAAAAAAAGATGTAACATTTTTGAGGTGATGATAGATGAGCTAGAGAACACAGCCAAGAGACATGACTCCCCAGGGGGATTCTAGAAAACATCAGGAGGCTTTCCTGTTGCTTCCCACTTGGAAATGGTCATCAACCTTGAGTGGAAAGGATACATAGTTTAATTAATTATTTCTGATTACACTATCTAAACATCAGGACTATAAAAATGTTGAACATTTTAAAAAAAAAATCTACATTTGTATATAGTATGAATGTTAAACCAGTACAGAATCCAGTTCTCTCCAGTTATATCTCAATTATGATTTCTTATTTATCATTTTGCTAGGAAGCTGTCAGTTGAAATTCACCAAAGAAAAAAAATCGTAATATTGAATTGTGAAGATTTATTTTTAGAAGTGTAATTATAGGTTCCTTAAACATGCACAGAACATGTTGAGCCAAAGGCTATTATCAGAGTGTTTCAGAAAATCTTGTCACTAAGGTCACATAATAATGAAGGAACCCAGAAACAGACCCAGCTGACAGTAGTGACAGAATAAATCTGGAATTATTCTGTTTAAATAGCTGGAGTTGTTCTGCATTTATACCTTTTTATCTGACAGCAGAATCTGGCATTGTAATACACTATAGGTACGAGTTCTGTTTGTTTTTAACTTCACTGCATTTTTCCTCCTGTGAAGAGCTACCTCATAGTATTCATCCCACATTTAAATCTGAACTGGCCTTGACTTCTCAAAATTACATAGAATCTTTCTGTAATTATCAAGAAATCAGCATTTTCTGCCTTTGTGAAATAACTGAGTAGAAATTATTGTTGGTGCCAATTTCCTTGGGAGGATAATAAATCATAATGGGAGATACCTTTGACAGAATTTCAAAAAAATATAATAAATCTCAATAATATGAAATAAAGAATAAATTTGCCATTTAGTCCCTTCATCCAGGTCATTAATGAAGATGTTAAACAGTATTGGCCCCAGTATTGGCCCTGGAGGTACACTGCTATTTGCTGGCCTCCAGCTAGACTTTGCACTACCGATCACAACCCTCTGAGGTCAGCTGTTCAGCCAGTTTTCAGTCTGCTTCACTGTCTGCTCATCTAGCTAGTACTTCCTCAGCCTGCCTATGAGGATGTTATGGGAAACATTGTTAAAAGCCTCACTAAGGTCAAGGTAGACAACATCCACTGTTCTCTCCCTTCAACCACCAAGCCAGTCATTTCATTATAGAAGGCTTTCAGGTTGGTTGAGCATGATTTCCCCTAGGTGGATCTATGCTGACTACTCCTGATCACCTCCTTGCCCTTCATGCACTTCAAAATGGTATCCAGGGTGAGTTGCTCCTTCACCTTTCCAGGGATTAAGGTGAGCTGACCAGCCTGTTGTTCCCTGGGTCCTCCTTCTTGCCCTTTTTGAAGATTGGAGTGACGTTTGTTCTCTTCCAATCCTCAGGAGCCTTTCCAATTGCCATAACCTTTCAAAGGTGATTAAGAATAGCCTTGCAATGACATCAGTCAGCTCTCTCAGCACTCGTGGGTGCATACCATCGGGTCCGTGGACTTGTGTATGTCCAGTTTGCTTAAGTAATCCTTAACACAATCCTCCTCCACCAAGTGAAAGTCTTTCTTTTAGGGTTCAACTTCACAGAGATAGACAACTCTTGTGGAATCTGAGCATTAACTTTGAAATGCCACATATATTTACAAGATTAGGAGAGTAGCTGTCATCAGAAAGTGGCTCCTTCCGGGGCGGACAACAACAAAACACATTTCAGAAGTGATGTATAAGGAAATCTCTGATAGAAAGTAAAAAAGAGGAAAGGAAGCAAACACAAAGGCCAACTTCATGCTGGGAGACTGTGTGCACTAGGGACAGGATATATATATGCCTGCCATCTGACAGAAATACAGAGGAGAACGGATCTTGCCTAATAACAGTTAATCATTCTGCGAGGCCTGCAGTTCCTGTAGGCTGTGTCAGGGAACAACAAAAGTGAGGCTGCTCTGGAGGGGAGGGCGAACTGGGAACCAAAGGTGCCCAAAGCACAAGCAGTGCCCTCCCAGCAGGGCACCATCCTACAGCACCCATGCCGAGCTGGGCTGGGGAAGAGTGACAGGGTCTGCTGACAGACCTGGCAAACATAGGTGATAAGTCAGGGTTGAGGTCCATGCAGGGGGTCCAGTCGAAAATAGCAAGAGAGAAGACTGCAGATGGTGCTACTTATAATGCGAATCCAAAGTCCATCCAAGAGACAGGGCTAGAGGCAGAATGAGAAATAAGACTGGAAACAAGGCTACATACAACATACGTCCAGCATCCATAAAGAAAGACCAGTCAGGACAGTAGGAGACAAGACCAGGCCCAGACACTCCTATGGCTTTGTTGGGGCAGGGACTGACAGCCCCAGGCTGGGCTGAAATGGGGTTCTGAGCCTAGGCAGGTTTGGGATAAGGTCCTGGGAGAGGTGGGTAGGGCCGGTAAGGCCCAGTAGTGCCCTCAGAGCCTTGGCAGATTGTGGTAAGGACCATTCAGAAAAAGTCACACTAGTGAGTGCATTAGACATTGGATGAAGTGGGACGATGTTGATACAGAAATATAATTAAAAGAGACTGCTATGACTCACCTGACATCATCCTTTGCACAAGCTGCACATGAATCAAGTCATATCTGCACCTTCATTGAGGGTGACTGTTTTTGAAGCGCAAATACAAAAATTTAAACAGGCACCAGAAAAATAGGACCTACCTTTTTCCAATTCTCACCAAGAAAAAAAGGAAATTCAGAAATGACTACTGAGATTTTTTTTTTATATGTCCCGCATATCTGATTTACAAGACGGTTCAAAGTCTGTCTAGCTATAGACTTAACAACAGCAAATAGGGCACTATTATTCTTATTGCAGCCTGTGGACTTTTCAGGGCAGAAACTAGCTTGCTTCATATTATTTATATAGTAATCAGTAAAACCAAAATTCTGATTAGTCCAGCCAAGTATTACAGTTCTGTAAATAACAATACAGCACAATATTGGATCCTCATCTAGTTCACTGGGTACATGCGAAACTCCCTTCATCACATGAAATAAAAGCTATGCATAAACATAAATTTTAAAGCACAGAGTAAAATAAAATACACTGCATTAGAAATGGCATTGTTATATCAAAACAAAATGCATACTGCCATTTCAGAATTAAGTACATTATGTTTGTGAGGAGAAGTATAAGCATAAAACCTATAGGACAATGAGTACAAAGTGGAGACAGTACAGTTCGATATAGCTATATCTCTAGAAATGAGATTCTCCTGTTGTAAAAAGAAATTCTGGCCAAATCTCAGATGAAATGCCTACCAAATCCCTTTTTTTTTTTCCCTATGGATCTCTGATAGAAGCTAATTTTCAAATACCTTATAATATTAATTTGTAAGTTTACAGAAATAATTTATATATAATGTTAAATTAAAATCAAGTTACTTAAAGGCATACAACACAATGCTCAACCCAGCATAAAATATCAGAGTGAAAAAGTTTTCCTGTTTCCTCCAAGTATAATCTTGAATCACTCACAAAAACAAATGGAACGACTTCTAAATTACAAAATATGACTACAAAATAGAATTTTCATAGAGACCATTTCAAACTGCTAAAGCTTGTTGGAAACTGCTTTATACGAATGCAACAGCTAAGGTACATAATTATATAATTTGGAACTTTCCTGGACATTTATGTCTGTATTATTCTATTTTAACTAGTAGGGATATGAATTTCCTCTGAGTAAAGCTACATTAATTCATCATAGCTGGATATGTGGTTCATGCATAGCTTTCAGAAGAAATATTTGATGTAATGATCCTCCCCCCGCTGTTATTTCTTCCCACCTAGTAGCAGGACCAGTAGGCAGCAGAACTGGGTCCACCTCAGCATATTGTAGCGCATTTTAGAAAGAAATTAATCTAGTTTGCAGTTCAGCTTCCTCTGGGACTCAAAGCAGTAATACCATACTAACGTGGCTTTGTGGACAGCTCCAGTATACTAGGGGGCACTATCTTTGGTCTATAGGGATTTGGGGATCCAAAGTAGTAGTAGATCTGCATAAAAGTGCATTGCACTGTTTAGTGCAGACATAGTAGCTTATCAGAAGCTAAACTGAGTATCTCTGACTACAGTGCAAATATGTCCTAGGTCTTTGCCCATACACTTACCTAGATACTAAAAATGTATTTAGCTTCTTATGGAAAACTGAATAGTTTTCCCATAGCAGTGTATATGTGAGCTCTGTTTAATTAATATCTACTTTTTAAATATTTGCAATTCGGATACAATCATGAAAAAAAGCAATGTGA